GGGAGGGCAGGGACAAGGGGAAAAAATGAGAACCAAGACCTGTCATGTAAAGGTAACAAGATCCCAATAATGAATGTAACTGTACTGTACGCCTAAATGTACCAATAAACGCAATTAAAAATAATAATAATAAATTTTTTTTAAAAAAAGGAAAGAATGCGCTGGCCAGTAGCAAGCTCAAAGTCTGCAGGATAGTCCAGACAGCAGGAAGAGCCGTAGTACAAGTTGAAAGACAATCAGCTTGCAGAGTTACCTCTTCTCAGGCCGGGGATTTAGCTCAGTGGCACCATGCCTGCCTCACCAAACACAAGGTCCTGAGTTTGATACCCAGTACCAAAAAAAAGGAATTACCTCTTCTCTAGAGAAAGTCAAATCTTATTCTCTTAAGGTCTTCCTTCAATTGACAGGGTGAGACCCATGTACATTATGGAGGGCAATCTGCTTTATTTAAAGTTTATTGATTAAAATGTTAATCTCCTCTAATACATACCTTCCAAGAAACATCTAGAATAATATTTAACCAAATATTTGGGTACTTGGGTCTAGCCAAGTTGACTCAAAAATTAAACATCACACTTCTTAATTTACCTTATTGAGCTACAATTTATATGTCATGTGTCCATTTTATTTTATGTATTTTAATTTTTATGGTTAAAATTATTTTAGATTTTTAAATTGACAAACAGTTGCATATATATATCAGATATGTGTGTTTGACATATGTACGTATTATGGAATGGCTCAACTAAGCTAATTAACAATGCATGACTCATACTTATTTGTTCTGGTGAGAACTCTTAAAAACTATTCACTTGGCAATTTTCAAGAATATAATATATGGTCACTCACTCTAGTCACTATTTTATACAATGGATCTCTTAAACATATTCTTCTTACCCAGTTGATTTTATTTTTTTGTACTGAGGATTGAATCCAGAGCCCTCATGTTGAGCTATAGTCTCAGACCTTTTAATTTTTTTTTTTTACTTTGAGACAGGGCTTCACCAAGTCACTAAGTTGTCCAGGCTGGTTTCAAACGTGCAGTCCTCCCACCTCCGCATCCCAGAGTGCTAAGTCTACAGACATGTGCAACCATGCCTGGCTCCTAAGTGAAATTTTATATCATTTGAGCAACATTTCCCCAATGATGTACCTATTTTAAATACACAATTTGGGAAGTTTTGATACATGTAGATGTCTATGTAACTACCATCACAGTTGATATATAAAACTTTTCATTCAGAAAGCTTCCTGTGGGCCCTTCCCAGACAATCTCTGTACCCTGTTAACATTCCCTTTTATTGCTGACTGGTAGTTCATCAAATGGATATACTACACTTTCTTTTCCACTCATTTATTGATGATTATTTCTGGTTTTGATCTATTGTAATAAAATGCCAATGAACATTCTTGTACAGGTCTTTTGCATATATTTTATTTTCTCTTGGGAAAATGCCTAGGTGTACAATGGTTGAGGTGTATGGTGGGTACATATTTAACAGTTTTCCAAAGTGGTTGCACACTTTACATTCCTATCAACAATGTATTAAAATTCTAATTGTTCCACACACTGACATTTCCTGATTTTTCTTTTATGCTTTGTATTTTATAATAGCATTACATTTACAAAACAAAGTTACAAAGATAGTACAGAAAATCCTCATTTACCTCTCACCTAGTTTTCTCTAATAATACTATCTTACATGACCTTAGCATATTTACCAAAATTGGGAGACTGACACTGGTACTTCACTATATACTAAATTTGAGGTTTTATTTAGATTTCACCCATTTTTCCCATGAATATCCTTTTCCTGCTCAGGATCCATCTACAATCTCACGTTGCTTTTTGCTGTCCTGTCTCCTGACTGTCCTCTGGTCTGTGGGTCTGTGACCGCTTCTGTTGTTCCTTGTTTTCCATGACCTTGAAAATTTGAAGAATACTGGTCAGGAATCTTGTAAAACATCCCGAGGTCTGGATCTATCTGAATTTTTTTCAGTTTTAGGTGGAGGTTAAAGATGTGGAAGAATATCACAGAGGTAAAGTGTCCTCGTCATCACATCTTCACAGGGCCCATGTGACATCAATATCACTAACCACTCATGATGTTAACCTTGATCCTTTGCTAAAGGTAGCATGTGCCAAATCTGTCCACTATGAAGTTGCTATTTTCCCTTTCTCTACTGTGTTCTTTGGAAAAGCATCACTGTGTTCAGAGCACCCTCAGAAGGGCATGGGAGGAATTAAGCTCCACTTAGTCTGAGACTGGTGGAGGAGGAGTATCCACATACATTTCTTTAATTCTCTAAGGAATTCACTTCCTCATGTATTTATATCAGTATGGACTTACATAGACTTACTTTATTCTTAAGATTATAATCCAATGCTACATTATTTATTTTGCTGCTTGAATTGCTCCACCTGCAGACAATGGGGTGTTTCTTTAGTTTAGCTCCTCTTTTTTCTTTAGCACTTCCTTCATTTCTGGCATCAGAAAATTCTCCAGGCTCATCTTTTATTTTCTTTTCCCACGCCCTAGGATCTGTCACTTGTTCAAGGGGCCTTAGTTCCTTTTATTAGGAGAATGATATTTAGAAACAATTTCTGGCTGCTGGATGCAGGGTGATTTTTTTCTTCTTTCTTTTCTTTTTATCAGTGTTGTAGATTGAACCCAGAGCCTTGAAATGCTAAGCAAGTGCTCTACCACTGAACCCTGATTTTGTTTCTTCAAATAGCTTTGTTGATACATAATTTAAATACTATATACTTTGTATGCTGAGTTTTTAAAACCTCTACTTATGTTTTCTCCATCAGCATTTAGAAATTACTCAGTAGAAACCTGTGAATGGATTTAAAGACTCATTCCCCATGAAGAAGATTTGGATTCCCATCCAGCTCTGTCTTTCCTAAGCAGGCTGACATAGAGCAAATCAGTTGCTTAATCTTCCTGGGCCCCAAACATCAAACTTTCTAATGCAACTCCCTTCAGGAAGTATGCTAATATTACTATAAACAGCTAGTTTAAACAGTGTCTTAGTCTGTTTTCTGTTGCTGTTACAAAACACCTGAGACTGGATAATTTACAAAGAGTAGAAGTTTACTTAGTGCATGGTTCTGGAGGCTGGGAAGCCCAAGAGTATGATGGTGGAATCTGTTTGGCATCTGGTGAGGGTCTTCTTGCTGCATCCTAATATGGTGGGGGTATCACATGGCAAGACAGAGGGAGTGTGCTAACTCATGTCTTTCTTCCTCTTCTTATGAAGCCATCAGGCCCACCATGGGGGACCACCGCCCTGATGACCTTACCTAATCCCAGTTGCCTCCCAAATACCATCTAGTCCCAAAATATCATCAACATATTAATCTGGAGATTACATTTTATTATGAGTCGTGAAAAAGACATTTAGACCATGAACATGTACTTCTTAGTGTCCTGAAGCTCTATTTATCTTTCACCTGCCTCTAATCCCACTGTCCCAATTTCACACACTGACCACTCCGTGTTACACAATGCCCTCCCCCAAGCTGCAATGGCACAGGTTCTGGAGTCAAAACACGGCTTTGCCATTCTGTGCTTCCTAACTCAACTGCAAAATGTCACAATAGCAACTACCTCAAAAATATATTGAGAAGATGGAGTGA